TCACACTCATAGGCAGGTGTTGAACAATGAGAACACATGGACACAGGGAGGGGAACATCACACACCTGGGGTCTTCTGTGGGGCACTAGGGTAGCGACAGCCAGGAGTGAGGAGTTTGGGTAGGGATAACATGGGGAAAAATGCTAGATATAGGTGATGGGGGAATGGAGGCAGCAAACCACATTGCCACCGTGTATATACCTATGCAACAATCTTGGAAGATCTGCACATGTACCCCAGAATAAAAAGTGCAATAAAATATATATATTTTTTAAAAAGACATCCATACTACCCAAAGCAATCTACAAATTCAATGCAATCTCCCTCAAAAGCTTAATAGTATTTTCTAACAATAAAAGATAAATTTATCACTATTATTATTATTATTATTTGAGACAGAGTCTTGCTCTGTTGCCCAGGCTGGAGCACAGTGGCGCACAATCTTGGCTCACTGGAACCTTTGCTTCTGGGGTTCAAGTGATTCTTCTGCCTCAGCCTCCCAAGTAACTGGGACTACAGGCGCACACCACTACACCTGGCTAATTTTTATATTTTTAGCAGAAGCAGGGTTTCACCATGTTGGCCAGGCTGATCTTGAATTCCCGACCTCAGGTGATCCACCCATCTCAGCCTCCCAAAGTGCTGGGATTATAGGTGTGAGACATTATGCCCGGCCAGAAAAAAAAAAAAAAAAAAACAATTTTAAAATGCATATGGAATCACACACACACACACACACACACACACAAAGACAACTAACTAAATCAATCTTGTAAAAAAAGAACAAAGCTAGAGGCATCACACTTTCTGATTTCAAAATATATTAGAAAACTGCAGTAATTAAAAGAATACGGTACTTACATAGGACATGTAGGCCAATTAAACAGAACAGAGAGCCCAGAAATAAATTCATGTGTATGTGGTTAACTGATCATCGACAAGGATGCTAAGGATACACAATGGGGAAAGGATCATCTCTTCAAAGGTTTCTTCCATCATTAATTCATTCACTCAAAAATACACATTGAGGCCAGCACATTGGTTCATGCCTGTAATCCAAGCACTTTGGGAGGCCAAGGTTGGTGGACCACCTGAGGACAGGAGGAACTCAACCAGCCTGAAAAACATGCTGAAACCCTGTGACTACTAACAATGCAAAAATTAGCCAGGCATGGTGGTGCAGCCCTGTAATCCCAGCTACTCTGAAGGCTGAGGTGGAAGAATTGCTTGAACCCAGGAGGTGGAGACTGCAGTGCCCTCAATTGTACCACTGCACTCTAGCCTGGGTGACAGAATGAGACCCTTAAAAAAAAAAAAAGTCTATCTATCCATATATATATAAAAATAATATATACAATATATATTGTATATAATATAATATAATATATAATATATAATATAATCTATACTATATGATATATTGTATAGATTATATAATATAATCTATTATATATACAATATAATTTATATTCTATTATATATTATATTTTATATTATATATAATATATATAATATATACTATACACACACACACACACACACATACACACACACACACACACACACACACACACATTGAGTACTGAAAAAGTCCCACACCTTATGGGAAACATAGCCATATGAGATATAGTCTTTGTATCAAAGCACAATCTAGTTCGGAAAATTATATACACACACTTTATATTTGCACACAAATATATATGTAATTTTATCACAATGGGCTGTCATATCAGAAATCTGTGCTGGATGTAGACATTACACAGGTAATAGAATTAGCGCAGAACACTTTATGTAGGGAGCATCTCCTGGAACTTGAATGCTACCAAACACATTTTTGAAAATCCCACTCTCCATAGAAGAAAATATTTAAAGGGTTTTTGGTAAGTGAACATAAATCAGAATTTTGTATTTTGAGATATATAGGAGTTGAATTGGAAGGTTGTAGAATCTCTGAGTTGTCCAAATAAAATTAGATGACTGCCGCTAGAGAAAAACTGCTTTTGTCAGGTAAGCAATGATAAAGAGCTGGATTGTATTACATTTAGCCACACTAGTAGGGATGCAGAGAGCCTGAGAACCTGCACATGAGAGATCACAGATTTTGAAGAGGCAGAGCTCAGGATGAGTCCCCATATAAAAATACTTAAATGTCTTAAACATAATTTGAGTGGAATTATTTGTATTTCAAGATTAACATACTGCTTTATGCAAGGTGCCTGTGCATTTTCCTTTAAATAATGGGCTCTGTCCCTCTTTGCCTAAATTAACCGTAGTTTGCAACAATTCAAAATGCAAATATGTTTTAAAGTACTCTTTTTTTTTTTTTTGTAGACTGACTTTCACAAAAGCTGCAGCACTCTTGTATTAGCAGGTAAAGTCTGGACCTTATTTCATCCTGGGCAATCCTTAAGCTGAGATATTTGACAAATGGCATCATATCTGCTTTGGAAATGTTGGTCTCAGGCTCCACTTATTTCAGCTGCCCAGTGTGGTTTGTCCCAGTCTCCTGTGAGCTTATTTTGTTAAGCAATCAATTACAATCTAATAATTGATCAGCCTTTCTGTGTTCTTTGCAAAGCAGACCCATCACTCAGCAAGATTTTTTAACACTATTTTCATGAAGTCCGGATCTACTGAGGATTTGATGGATTTAAGAAGACAAACAAAATGACTTCTTGGCCTTAGGATAGAAAACAACCTCTGATAAAAATACCAGGGTTATAAGGAATTGAAGTTTGGAAGAGGCTCACTGTAACTAGCCAGGGGACAGGAAGAAAGCAAAAAAGGAAAACAAGAATCAAATACTTTTCATTCAACATGGACGGCTCAGACTAGTGCTGTCTCCCTTATATGAATTAAATTTATTTCACTCACATAGAATTAGGTGTCAGAATTTCTCTACTTTTGAAACAGCCTATTTTTCGTTTTGCTTTTGCACTTTAAGAACTTATATGTGGGAGATGGGCAATCAGTTGTCTTTGACTTGTTAGTTAAAGGCTCTGGAATTTTTTTTCTTTTTCGTCCTCATTTTACAAATAGTTAAAACTTTGGTGATCTACATGAAGACCCAGTTTCTTCTCTTGCTTGGACTCAGAGATAACAGATTTGTTCTTAATTCCCAGCCATGTAATTGTGATGGAATGAATTATTGTGTTGTAGCAAAGGCTTTGTAACCTGGAGGCCTCGTAATTATTAATTCAGAGGGGATTCATCAGAGTGTAACTGTTGGCTGATTAGTCAGAGGATGACATGAAGGTAACTGGGATATTGTTTGGGCCTCAAGGGTTCTTACAGTGCAAATTAGTAAATAATTGTTATTATTAAATTGATAAAAGTAAATATTAAATCGATTGATTTTATTATTAAATTATTAGATATACTAAATGCAGAATGTGGATTAATTAACTTATTGAAGATCCCTGACCAAAAAAGATAAGTTGACTTGAATAAGCAAATACTTTAAACTTGGAGACGGTAGATTTGGGAAAACGTTGAGGACCCAACATTGGCAGTAGGACCTTATGAAAATCTTCGGAGTTTCTGGTTACTCACTGTAAAATACATGTAATGTTCACCTCATGGGGTTTTGTGAAATTTAGTGGTATGCAGAATCCAGATGTAGTTTGTCAGCTACACTTGCAATTAAATATGAAATATTATTATTTTTATTTAAGTTATAATTGCCTTTTGCAGAATTTCCTTGGATCAATTCATTTGCAAAATAACATTTCAATTATGATATGCCTTGCCTACATTTTCATGAAATGAACAGTGTATTACAAAAATGTTATACATATCAAACCTTCCAAAACAAAGTAACAAGTATGATAAAGTATTACATAGATGGTTAGGGGCTTCTGGGACAATGGTGACTTCCTTCCACACCTTTGTTTTTATTGAGTTGTAAATTGGGACCCCTTTGGTTTATTACTTGACTATCCATCTTAGTATCTTGCCTTTTCTCGCACCTTTAATAGAGTTTGATAAGAGTCAGTTAGATTTATAAACAATGACTTGACACCTAAGACTGAGGTATGAAACTTATGAACTACTATTGAACAAAATATATTTTAAATTACATAAAAGCGTTATACAGCCTTCAAGTAAGAAAACAAACACTTCTAGGTTATTCAAATATTTTTAATGTAATTTTTGAGGGGATATAATTTTAGATTTACAAAATTGTACCTTTAATTTTTTTTCTTTAAATAATGGTATTAATATATCCTATGTATGGCTTTGGACAAATCGATTTACCACTTGATTTCAGTTTTTGGTTCCATAAATCAAGGGGCTTAGACTGAGTGAATACGAAAATCTCTTCTAATTAGAACTTCTTTGACCCCATTATTAATAGTTATTGAATGAACTAATGTTGGAAAATGAGAAGCAGGAGTGTTGCTGCCTAAGATTTGGGCAGGGATGCCTTGGTGTTGACAGCGTTGTTAACATGGCAACATATTCCCTGTCCATTCATATAGGTCACCAGGAACTTATGAGGAAAGAATGCAAATTCTTTGAGGACCTAGTGAGTTCAAGAGACCTTCAAACAATGAGACTAATAAGAGTGAAAAGTCATTGAGAGGTCTCCATGCCCCAGATGTGTACATTTATTACTTCATTTGATAGTCACAACATTCTAGCAAAAGCTCAGTTTATCACCCTAGATTTTCAATTGAAATCAAAAGGGCTTAAGTGATTTTTCCAGGCAGAAAGTGACTGAGCCAGAGTTTGAATCTGTAGTGCCCTGGATTCAGAATGTGAACTATTCTGCCTATTTCTAGCTGCAGTTTCTATCCTAAATACAATACAATCATTTCTGATTGTATTGTATCTTGATTACACAGGTCAACTAGAAATTTAGTTAAAACAAAACAACAACTCAGTAATTAAGACCCTAGTTCTGTCTGCTTTTCCTTTTAAAATATCTTACCATGATATAACCAGACTCTTAATGCTACATGGTTATTAAGGAGATTTTTCTGTTATCATTTTTTGAGTGTGTGTGTAGAAGTACTTGATTGTTCCATTTATTGTAATCTATATTCCATATCTAAGCTGGCAAAACCCTAACTTTACAACAGTAGCCAAGCAGACACTCTGGAAAGTATGAAATGAATTTGAGATTCTACAAAGAATCTCCACATTTTTTCACCAGAAAAAAAAAAATTGTTTCCTCATAAGCTTATGCTAACAGAAATATCTGCGATAACAAAATCAGTGAACTATTACCTGCGAGGTCAAACTACATTCTAAATAAATTATGCTACTGTTACTCAAACCATGTATTAATAGGTAGAGGAACTATATTCTAGGTAAGTGGGAAGAAGGATCACCAAACATTGAGGTTTGGAGGGCAGCAGGCAGATGTGGAAGAGATTGTCTCCGCAGATTCAGAAGTGCAATTTATCTTGATAACATCAGGAGACACCAGTGTTCTGATCTTCATTGCTCAGGTCCCAAATCTTGACCTAGAACCCTGAGATGGCCTCATCCCTTAAGATCGTATTTAATCTATTTACAAGAGAAACTGGTGTATAATTCATAGCAACTTAATACATTTACAGTTGAAACTACAGTGGTACAGACAAGTGAGCAGCCCATTGTCTCCATTTAGAGCAATAGTTCATACCTGTAACACTGCCTGAAAAGAACTTCCACAGACAGGCAGGGCTCCCGGTAATGAGAAATGTCTACATGGACAGCATGATAATGGTTTTGTGCAATTGTTAAAGCAGGAGCTCTAAGTTTACCACTTCTGTCTTAAGAATTCCTTAACATAGCACTGTGGCTTTACCCTTGCTACAGATAATTCTATAGGAAAATCCCATTGTAATCAAAGCATTGCTCTGTGATTACTGAGATGCTGACAGATGACTGTTTCATTTATTTGTATTTTATGTAATCAGCTAATGATATTTACATACATCTTTCTCTATGCCTACTGTGCCAGGGACTTGAATGCATAAGTCAGGACAACCATACCTCTGAGGACAGTACTTGGATGATGTCTGGAAAAAATGCCTCTGTAATTATTACAAATTTTCAATCTTAGGTCCATTGATAACCAGCTCCCATCTTGACTGCCAGTTTTTTATGTTAATATAATCAATTACTTTTGACTGAGTCAGGTAACAGGTCTCCCTTTGCAGAGTAAATCTGGAAACATCTTTTCTCATTTATTTTGCTGTTATTTCAGTTTTGCTCTAAGAAGACAAACACATTTTCCTTATTTTGAACTTGGCAGTTGGAGAAGTTGATTGCTGTTGCTGCTTCGTTTTTCAGCTTGATATTTTCAAAGGCCATGCTGTAATTAGTAATCTTTTTTACTCAATAGTTTCTATTCAATTATCCTCATTATCCATGGAATTCTTTTTAAAAAAAAAAGTTGTTCTAATATGCTTTAGAACTGAACTGCATTTCCTGCCTGCCTGCTTTCCAGAGTCATCATTTTCCATCCCTCCCTCCCTTTTTCTGTTTTTTCTTCCTTCTCTTTTTTCTCTTCCTGTTTTCTTCCCTTCCTTCTTTCCTTGAGAATAATTCAGTCTGAAAGATATTTTTGGGGTTCAGACAAATTAGTGTGTGTACATGTGTTTGTATGTGTAAGAATGTGGATGGGGTTGTGTTACTATGTGTGTCAGCAGATGTGAGTGTGAGTGTGTGAATGTTGGATGGCAGGCAGACAGCATGCAGCCTAGAGTATTGGAGCCCAAGTGGAATAAGGAGGCATCCATCCAGGAAGGGCTGAGAGGGGAGTGGTCAGTTGCCAGAAAGATGAGATGGAAAAGTGATGATATACTGGAGGGATTAATCCAATATATAAATATATTGAGTATAATGGGAGCCAGTTTTCTCACGATTGGAGAAAAGATTTCCAGCACACAGTAGGAGAGAACATTATAATAAGACTTATGATTTTGGCTTGAGATTGGAGGTAGCAGTATAAAATCACAATTAAACTGAAAGATATGTTAGATATGCTGACGTTCTAACACTCAGTAACTCAAGATGTGACCGTAATTGGAGATAAGGTCTTTAAAGAAGTTTTAAGGTTAAGTGAGGTCATTAAATTGTGTCCTAATCCAATATGACTGGTGTCCTTATAAGAAGAAATTTGAATACACAAAGAGAGCTAGAGGGTGCACATGTGCAGAAAAAAGGCCATCTGTAAGCGAAGGAGAGAGTTTTGAGGAAAATCAACCCTGCTGACACTTGATCTCAGACTTCCAGACTTCAGAAACATGAGCAAATAAATTTCTATTCTTTATCTACTCAGTCATTGGTGTTTTGTTAGAATAGCCCTTGCAAACAAATACGTATCGGTAGATACATTATGAAAAAAAGAGAATGAATGTCAATATGAGTAGAAATAAATTTAGATATAAATACTCACTCATATATGTATATGTATATCTGTATGTGAATGTATATACTCATCTAATATTGCCTAGCTCTGTCCACTAAAGAAGGTCTGGGAACTGCAGTGCACCAATAGCAATAAGAAAAACTTGGCTTCTAAATAACCAGTTCTTGGTTGCTAAATGCTGTACCACATGAAACAAAACCAGACTTTTTTTTTTTAAGTTTTATTTTACTTTAAGTTCTGGGATACATCTGCTGAATGTACAGGTGTGTTGCCTAAGTATACATGTGCCGTGGTGCTTTGCTGCACCTATCAACCTGTTATTTAGGTTTTAAGCCCTGCATGCATTAGGTATTTGTCCTAATGCTCTCCCTCGCCTTTCCCCTTACGCTCCAACAGGCTCTGGTGTGTGATGTTCCCCTCCCTGTGTCTATGTGTTCTCATTTTTCAACTCCGACTTATGAGTGAGAACATGCAGTTTTGGTTTTCTCTTCCTGTGTTAGTTTGCTGAGGATGATGGTTTCCAGCTTCATCCATGTCCCTGAAAAGGAACAAGACTTTTTAGAGAAATAGTTGATTACTAGATTTGGGTAGGAAAAATACAAGATGTACCTAGACATTTTCTTTTGTCAAAAAGAAAAGAAATGATTATAGAATTATAGTGACATAGAAAGGAGAGTCAATTTATCAAGCATCCCACTAGAATACTTTGAGATTTTCACCCAGTAAGTGAAATAAGATAAATCTTGAATATAAACTGATAGAAATTAATAAATGAACAAATCAAATGGTGAGGAATCACACATTTACATCATTTCAAGGTAATATCCTGTAAAATATTTATCAACCACAAATAATAAGAAGTGAATAAATGTAAGAAATCTTGGCAACTATGACTTTAGTCAAGTGTTCAAAATGAATACCATAAGTAATGGAACAAATCAAAATCTTGCAACAGCTGATAGGAAAAACAAGAAAAACAGAGCATTACTTCTGTGACAATCTTGCCAAAGATGTAAAAACTGAATATAATCCTGAGAATTCATTAGACAAAACCGAATTGACGAAATACTATAATATATTTAGTGGGCAATCGTCATAAGTGTCAGGAAAGATTGGGAAACTTCCAGTTTGAAGGAGACTAGTATTGACATGACAGGTAAATGTAATTGTAATGCATGATCTTCATTTAGTTCTTTTTTTTTTTTTTTTTCTTTTTGAGATTGAGTTCCACTCCTGTCTCCCAGGCTGGAGTGCAATGGCACGATCTCAGCATACTCTGCCTTCCAGGCTCAAGCGATTCTCCTTCCTCAGCCTGCCAAGTAGCTGGGATTACAGGAACACGCCATTACTCCGGTTAATTATTGTACTTTTAGTAGAGATGGGGTTTCACCATGTTGGCCAGGCTGGTCTCAAACTCCTAACCTCATGTGATCCACCTACCTCAGCCTCCCAAAGTGCTGGGATTACAGGCATGAACCACCACACCCATCCTAGATTTTTTTTTTTTTTCTATAAAGCTGATTATTGGGATAACTGGCAAAACTGGAATGTGGCCTATGGGTTACTTACTAGTAATATGGCAACATTAATGCCTTAATTTTGTTATCATTTTGTATAAATAATGCACTAAAATATTCAGGGGTGATGAGACATCATGTTAACACACCTCAAATCTTTCAGGAATAAAATAGATTTTTGTACTATTTTTTGTGAATATTCTGCAATTTTGAAATTATTTCAAGATGAAAAAAATAAGTAATGCTGTTACAACTAATTTATCTATCTGTCCATTTATTTATCCACCAATCTCTTTATCCATCTCCTATTAAAGAAAACTAAAATCAGAAACTTTTCTTTTTGAACTCATTTAAATTGTTTCATTGAATTTGCAAGCTTATGGAATCTGTTACATAAGAGTTAGAAAAGATAAAAAACTCAGGTTCCACTGTTCATCCAGAGACTGTGATGATCATTTTCATTTATATTCTTGTTTACATTTATAATAGTTCCAACAGGTAAGTTTTTGTATATGTATTTTTTTTTTTTAAGATGGGGTTTCACCATGATGGCCAGGCTGGTCTTGAACTCCTGACCTCAGGTGATCCACCCATCTCAGCCTTCCAAAATGCTGGGATTACAGGCGTGAGCCACCACGCCCTGCTGTATATGTATTTTTGATGAGACTCTCAGAGTTTGAATGAGTTGTTCAAGGACTTGTTCAGCTCCTGCATGTCAGGGCTCAGAATTCAGTGCCTACTGCAGCCTGGAGTTCTTTCTAATAAATCATGGTAACTTAATCTGGCTTAGGGGGATAAGTTTCAGTCAAGTAGTAAGATTCTCTGGAGCCTTTTTGCAGTGCTAAGGATATCAGAACTAAGCAAAGACTTCTGAGAAATTGTCAAGGGAGTCCATAAATTTCAATGGAAGGAGATCTAGTTTAGCCATTTGAAAATGAGAGTTTTTGCCTTGCTTTTGTCAGTTATTTTTTCTTCTGACTATTTAAGGCATTCAAAGACACAGTTGCTTTATCCCTAGAATGGGCACAACTTCCTGGCCTATTGTTTCATTAGGTGGTTTAAAGAATATATGAGATGATGAGTTAAAAGTGATTTGCACTTCTAAAGGTGCTATACTGACATAGCACAATGATGCTTTGTATTTGGGAATGAATTGTCTTTAATTAGGGTGTAAATTAGAACAAAGGAATGCATTCTCCCTCATAGATGAGTCAATCCGTAATCTCCAGGCTCTTGGGTTTGTTGTTTTTTTTGTTTTTTGTTTTTCCTTAAAGTTTCAGTCTATGGTAATGCAGTAGAGCCATTGCATAATTGATTCCAATCTTTCACTGTCCTCAATCCATTTTCCCTGCCATACAACTATATAACATCCTCCTAATCAGACTCTGAACTCAACCACACGACTTGATATAGCCAATGGGATATTAACATATGTGTCACAATCAGAGGCTTGAAGTCTTGCTGATTGGGTTTGTTTCCTCTTGTCCTCTTCTTTACCCTGAAAGGAAATGCTCAGTTAAGCAGTTTGTTTCAGCAGGAGGATGAGAGACATGGAGGAGGGATAGTTTGTTCCACAAATCCATTGCCTTCCTAGATAAGATGACGGTTGATCTGTACGCATACTTAATGCACCTAGTAGTTGACAAGACCATCTAATTTACTACCCACAAATATCTGAGCTCAATAAACTCTTATTATTGATAGCTCCTAAACAATATATTGTTTTTTTAGTAAGGCATGCATATATACTATGATGCAGTAAAAATCAAAGTTTCTGTAACTTCAACATGAAACCAGAAGCTTCCATTTTCAGCATTATCTTGAGATGCCTCTGTATCTGCAGCAACTGAGGACTGTATTTCAGAAATAATGAATTTAGGAAATAACAGCAACTACTTAAGAGATTCTGATATTGAACTTCCATGTGAAATCTAGCCCATTGCACATATATCTAGGGCTCAGTATAGAAATAAAAAAACTAAGTATAACCGTGACCTAGAATGTTCCATGTAAACAGAAACAGTTAAATCATCTAGGAGATTTTCCTCTGGGATTGTGGGAACTGGTATTCCTTTTCTTTTTGTGTGTGTAGGAGGAAAAGTTTGATTTGAAATATAAAACCTCTTATAGTAAGATTGAAGAATTACACAAATCACACACAAAACTATTGCCCATCAATTACTGTATTTGAAAAATAGGGTGAAAAAAAGAAGAAAGGGAGGAAGATAAAGAAGGAGGTAAGAAGACAATATGATGATGATAGAATTGGCACTGCAAAATACTTTCCAAAAATATATAAAAAGATTAAGCAACGTCTTTTGTACATTGTGTTACTATTAACTATTTTCACATTTTTTGTTTGTTTAAGAACAGGTGCTTTGTGATTTAGTGAAAAAGAAAATACAAAGGGAAGCTGACTTCTATGTAATAATAAAATTTGTAGAGAAAAATTACTCAAAAATGTCACCATGTGAGCCATTCTTTATTCACTCATACAATTATTATATGGAACAATTAAACCTAAGTTTTATTAAATGTATAATGATACACTATTTACATATTGAGTTTTATATTTCCATTTTTGTTCTTTTTAAAATAAAATATTGCTACTTAAGTGTATTTTAAATGGTCCAATCATTTTCAGATACAAAAAATCTTCTAGGTATTTTATACACACACCATATGC